ATCATTAATAAAATAATTAGAAAAAAAAATGTGCCAAAGACATGAACAGATTTGTTCAGAAGGAAGAAATACAAATGACCCAAATGTCCAAAAACCACATTAAAAAGATACTTGACTTTATAAAGAAATGGAAATCAAAACAGCAGTGCCTTGCTGTGTTTTAGCTATGAGGTTACCAAAGTTTAGAAATTTAATAATGTCATTGACTATTTTGTAGGAAAGTAGAGATTCCTATGCTCTGTTGGAGCAGATTTTCACATTCGACTTTTTTATGGAGGACAACTTGGTAAACTCTATCAAATAGTAAATGAAATATCCTACAACTCTTTCATGTTGCAATTCTATTCTTTGGTATTTAAACATATGTTTACAGAATGACAAGACTATGTAGACTGCCACACCCAGCTAGGATATTTCTTACAGTGCTAGCGAAGGTTATAAACAACTGAACCATGGGGCTGGAGAGACGGGCCAGCAGTTAAGAGCACTGGATGTTCTTGCAGAAGACCTGAGTTTGAATCCCAACACCCACATGGAAGCTAACTTCAATTCCAGGGGACCCGACACCCTCTTCTGTCCTCCTGAGGCACTGCATGACTCAGGTGCATTTACACATGTGCAGGCATAACACTCATACACAAAAAAAACCATAGATTTTAAAAAATGGACCAATATAAAATAGCTTCTATCAGTAGGAGGGAGATTAAGTAACCAGTGTTAGATTTTTACATTATGATGATAAAAAGAGTTAACTCTGTGCATTCTGAGAAGACAACTGGAATAATTTTATTATTTACTGCTTATTTTCTGTAATTACTTACAAATACATATTTTTTTTCTCCTTTTGCTTTATTTTGCCTTGTTCTTTTGAGAGAGGATCTCATTCCGTAGCCCAGGCTGACCTGGAACTCACTATATAGTCCAGATTGGCCTCAAACTCCTGCCCCAACCTCCTAAGTGCTAGAATTGCAGGCATGTGCCACCATAGCCAGGTCAATTCACATTCATTATTTGTTATCCTGACCACCAGTTCATATTCACCAGCTAATTGACCATTTGCATCTCTTTTCTGAAAACAACTCATATCCTTTTTTGTTGACCGTATTTTTCTCATTGATTGTAGTTCTTATCTGTCTAGTTGCTATTTTTCTGTCATAGGCTGACTGTGTCCTCTCATTCTGTCACTAACATCTTAATTTTATAGCAGTTTTGATATTGATGATCAAATACATTCACTACTTCCTGTATGGCTTTTGGCACTATGTACACATAGCCAAATCTCAGGACCATTCACAAAACAGTCCATTAGGTGCCCAACTAACTTAAAAAGGTCATCTGCCATATGTTAAATTCTCATTTATTTCTGATCGGTTTCACTGGTTTGGGGCTCTATGGATACACATTTATTCTATTACCTTAATGTCACATAATTGGTTTAGCTTTGTAGCAAGTTTTGGTATCCCAAAGGAAAATCCTTCATTGCTCAGCTTTCTGAAAACATTTTTGGATATGCTTGGGCATTTTAGGTGGACTTACAAGTTTATTTTCTTGTCTTTCTTTCCTTTACTTCAAAAAATATTTTTTTATTTTATTGGCACATAATTGTACAAATTTATGGGGTACATGTGATGTTTTCACACATGTACACATTGTGTAATAGTCAAATTAAGGTTATTGGTACATTTATCATCTAAACATTTATCAGTTCCTTGATCTGAGAGCGTTTGAAGTCTTCTCATTTCGTTATTTGAAATACACAATGAGCTTGGTTGTCTACAGTCACTCTATTGTGCAAACATACCAGAATTTATTTCCCCTATCTAGCTGTATCATCATACTGCTTGCCCAACCTCCCTCCATGTCCCTGTCTCACCTATTCATTCCTCAGCCTCTGGTAAGCACTATTTTACTCTCAACTTCTATAAAATCAACTTTTTAAAATTCTACACATAAGTAAAATCATATGGTATTTTTCTTTCTGTACTTGGGTCATAACTTTATCCTTAATGCTATTTACCAGGCTCATCCATAGTACCACAAATGACAAAATCTCATCCCTTATAATCATTGAATAGCAATGTGAGATGTACATTTGCCACATTTTCTTTATCTATATATCTATTGATAGGTTTTTCGCTTGGTTTCATAGCTTCACTATTATGTTCTGCAGTTAACGTAAGAGTAGCCTCTTTGACATACTGATTGCATTTCCTTGAGATAAATACCCAGCGGTTGGATTTTTGGATCATAATGTAGCTCTGTCTTTAGTTTGTTTTTTTTCCAGTTTCTCTTTCTCCTTTTTGAAAAATTGCTTTCCTTTTTGAAAAATATGCAATGAAAAATTGCATATTTGGTATACTATGCCAAAAATCATTTATAATTTTTGGACAAAATGATATAAGCAGCATCTTAAATGAACCTCATTTACCTCAGTTTTTAATGTAATCTCAACATATATCCTATTTGTTACCTTTCAAAAAGTGGGTAAGATGGGCCAGTGAGATGGTAAGGTAAAGGCACTTGCTACCAAGCCTAATCCCTAGAACCCACATGGTGGAAGGAGGCAACTGATTCCAGCAAGTTGTCCTCTGACCCCTACACATATGCCATGGCATGCACTTGTCCATACATACCACATAATAAATAAATAAATGTAAAAAACTGTTTAAATATTTGTCAACAATTGTTTTAGCTTTATTCTGCATTTGTTAGCAGTGGTTTAGACACAGGTTGTTGTGCTACTGTCCTGTTTTTTTTTTAAAGTATTTAACAGAAAGCTTTAAAAAATCCTCATAAAACACCCCTGGGATAAATAATTTTAAAACATTGCATTTTTAGTTTTTTGTATAACCTCCGTGCATACTGATTTTCAAAATAATATACAAATTTATACCCCTAACAATTGTATATGTGTAAGTATTCCCCTTTCCCTACACCAGCTCCAGCATTTGTTCTTTTCTGTCTTTTTTTTTAAAGACAGGGTCTCCCTGTAGCCCTACCTGGCCTGGAACTTGCTATCTAGATCAGGCTGGTCTCCATCTCATAGAGATCTGCCTGCCTCTGCCTCCCAAGTGCTAGGATTAAAGGCGTGTGCCACCACACCTGGCCTTTCTTTTTGATAACAGCAATTCTAGCTGAAATCAGGTAATTCTTAATTGAGGTTTGGATTTTGATTTGCATCTCCCTGATGGTTAGTGAAATTAATCATTTTTTCATATACCTGTTGGCCAATTGTATGTCTTCTCTGGAGAAATTCTGTTCAGACACTTTGCCCAGTTAAAACCATTAAAGGCCCCAAATAACTGAAATAATCTTGAGCAAAAAGAAAGAACTGGAGACATCACACTGATTCCAAAATATTGTACACAACTATAGTGACCAA